GGGAGATGCAGGGTGCCTCAGAATCTCTTAAAGGGAGTATCCAGGTTCCTATATGCTTCATAAAGGAGGCAAAATGCTCCCCAGCTCTTTCTATGTTCGCAGCATTAAACTGTTCATTTTGCACATGGAGCAAGTCACAATAGAGCTTCTCGATGTCTTTACCTCCAATGGCATAGAAGGGAGCAATCCCATTTGTGCAGTCCAAGTAGCCCAACTTGTACACATCCATGATAGCTTTGAACTTGGATTCTTCAGCGGACTTGTGATAGGCACAAAATCTAGCCAGAAGCTTGTCATAATTGAGAGAGATGTCAGCATTCTTGCGCTCAAGACAGAAGTAAGCATCTTTTCAACTGACCAAGTCTGTAGCAAAGGAGTTAAGCTCAGAATCCTTCACAGCAAGGGAACTCTTCAACTCAGATATCATTGCCCTTAATTCAGACGTCTTTTTCTCGTAATGGGTCTACTCGACAGAGAGCTTGCTAGTCAATTCAGGATTCTTCTTCTCCAATTCACTAAGTTTAATAGAAGTGGGGCAACAGCAGACGAGTTTGGAATAGTCTCAGCAACAAAAACTACTCATTTTTTAAGCAGATGAAATGTTGCTTCCCTTTGGTTTTCCAAGTGAAGACTTGAGAAGGTATCAAGATCACTAGCCTGATGGATATGATGAACCAGCTTAGAGCAAGCAGATGGGCTTGACAAGAGGTTCTTCTTTTGCAGATCAGACACTCATGTATTCCCTACAGGGCTAGACTTGTCCACCTTGGGATCAACCGCTGACATCGCAGAAGAGCCCACTATGCCAAGTTTTACTTTACACAACACTACATAGGCATCGAAAAACCTAAAATCCAATACTGTTAGTATATTAGGCATCGGTTTTATAAATAATAAGGCTAATAGTGTATAAAGACATCAACAAAAAATTCAATCTTTGCCTACTGATTAGGGCTGGCAATGGATCGGGTCATATCAGGTTCGTGTCGTGTCTGGATATTAAACGTGTCAAGAATGCTCAACCCGAACCTAACCCATTTAATAAATGTGTCGTGTCGGGTTCGGGTCGTCTTTTATTGTGCGGGTTTTGAGTCGTGTAACGGGTTGATAAATAATAATATGCATGTTACAATAGTCACAACTGAAAAAATTTAAATAAAAAAAACAGAGAGAGGAGAGAAAATATAAGGAAAAGAAAGAAAAAAAAGGATAGAGAGAGGAGAGAAGAGAGAAGGAAAATAAAAAAAATAGAGAGAGAGAGAGAGAGAGAAGGAAAGAAATAAAAATAAAAAAGAGAGAAGAGAAAACTAAAGAGAAGGAAAAGAAGTAAAAGAAAGAAAAAAAAATAAGAGAGGAGAGAAAACTAAAGAGAAGTAAAAAAAGAGAGGAGAAGATAGACGGAAAAGAAAGAAAAACAAAAGAAGAAAAAGAAACATTATAAATATCAAAATATATAGTATATAATCACAAAGTTGTATCTAGCATGGTGGATAAGGTGTTGGAGAGTAATGAGGATGGGTAGGGGTTCGAAACCACATATGTGTGTTTTGAAGTCTCTATTTCTCTATATTTTTTCGAGGGTTGGCGTGTCTTACACTGGTTCACACGACCCGTTTAATAAACGGGTTACACATGTGTTCTAACGGGTTGGCAGGTTGACCCGAAAATTACCCAATTATTAATCATACGGATTCAAGTCATATTTTTTTCGTGCGGGTTTCGAGTCGTGTATTGTCACCCCTACTACTGATGCTATTGATGCTACTTTAGCTTCTATGGTTAAATATACCGATGAGTAAAAGTTTTCAATTTTTTTTTTTTTTAGGTGAACATATAGCCACTCCGATGCCAAAACCATGTTCAACCCGCTATAGTGAATTTTTCACAAAAAATTTTCTTACTCCCTGGCAATTTCAGACTCTCCCTCTTTTTTTTGGGGAAATTTTTAGGGAAATTGACTTGGATAATCACAAAAGATAAACCATAATCAAATATATTCACTTTATAAATTTCATTCGGAAATACTCACTTTGTAACATGAAAGTACCCAATTGCCCTCCATATAAATACATTTGTATTGACCCTTTATCCCCTCAAAAATTCATTTTCTAAAACCCAATTTCTCCCAACTCCTCTCCTCTCTCGCACTCTCCCAAATCTTGCTCAGCCATGACTTCGTAGAAAATAGAGAGTAACGGCCATGGCGACGACGTCGGTGGATTCTCCAAAGTCTGACCCGGACACTGACACTGAGCTCATTACCAATCCAAACCTTAACCCTAACCCCATGGAGTGTTATGCTTTAATTGTTTAATTGTGGTGTTTCTATATTGGAATTTGAGTGGTGCTGATATAGGATTTTGAGTGTTTGACAAAATATGATTTTTGTTAATAGTGTTTTAGGCTTTGCAAAAGGGAGTTAATTTTCTCTTTCTGACTAACGAGCTGTTGGAGTTTTTGGTGAGGTTTGTTTAGTGTTGCTAATGGTTGAGGTATGCTAGTGTTTTGAGATGTGAAATTGTGGTTTTCTCTAATGGTTGAGGTATGATAGTCTTTTGTATTTTTCAGTTCGTATCATGTGGGTTTCTGTTGAGTATTGATATAGTGATTCTTAATATGCTTCTGGATATGTTTTCTGCTGAAATTCCTTATATGAAGTGTATGAATTTTGAAATCGAAATTGTTGCATTTGCCTTATCAAAACCTGATATGGATGCAAATAGGTCTTGTTGCGATTGATTTTATTATTTATCAGAACATGGGAAAGCTGAAAATAGGTATCTTCATGAGATCCTTGACCAAAATTTGAAGTATTGCAAGAGCATTAAGTAGACCTCCCCTGATATATACTGCTTCAGAAAATTTTGGTTGTTCTGTTCACTATTGCCTTCTTTAGGAAGCTTATAAATTACATGTGGAGCTTCTTGAGTCAAACAATTCCACATTACCCCATTATTGTTCTGTGTATTACTGTTATGGATGTTGTAGCTGTACCTAGTTTTGTATTGCTGTTATGGATGTTGTTTGGTTATATTGATTAAGTTCACCCTTTGAGGTGTTTTGATGTCTGGTTTTGTGCCCCTTATTTTGTTTGACAGTTTCTTTGTGCTTTATGCGTTCCACTTTTTGCGATTTTCTCTTGTTGGTGTTCTAGGTTAGGAAGCTCCTTGCCAATT